CATCTAATTTTGAAACAGAGAGATAAGAACTGTGTTCTGTATGAGCAATTCTGTAACTTCATTAAGTTATAGAACATTAATGAAATGCATAATGCATTTCATTAATGTTCTATAACTTAATGAAGTTACAGAATTGCTCATATAGAACAAAGAAAAAATATCTTCCAGTAATATTGACATCTTAATCAGGTGCAAAGATGAACATAGAAGAGTTACATAGTTCTGTACGTTTTGCTTAATTGTGTTTGTTGAAAGGATATCATTTTCTCTTTAAATAACAAGCTTTCAAAGAGCATGGGTAACTTTTTTTTCAGGTATTTAACCTTTAGAGTTTTTAAGTACTTTAGTAATAATCTCAACTTTCTCCCTGTAATTTAGAACAACTGTAAAATTACAGATTTTTAAAATAGCTCTGTACACCTCCACAGCATTGAGCTGCCTACGTGGGCCTAATGTTCAAGTGGCTGAGTTGAGTTTGTTACAAAGGTTGCTGAAGGAGGTGAAAAAAAAGCTTTTTATCAGGCTTTCCATTGTATCCTGCTCCTTCCTCCAAGCAGCCTTTGTCACATGCTGACTCTCAGCAGTCACTTAAAGCTACCAGGAAACTGCACTGCAGTTCAAACACAAAAAAAATGCTCAGCTCTTCAGGATTGAGAGCTCTAAGGATGTGCAGAGGAGTTCTCAGGTGAGCAATAGTTGTACAGCCACGAGCTGCCAAAATCAATGTGACTTTCATACCTGGCTGTGGGCAACAAAATCGCACCTCGGTTTGTTTGTGGGAGCAAATAAATGTGTGAGAGCAAAACCTGGCTGTCCCAGGGCAAACTGGCAGCTGGGGTTAAGGAGCATCCTCTGTTCTTCTGGGCATGCCAACTCATCAGTTCTTCTGGGTCTCACATCAGCATCCTGCGTGCCTCTTCCTCACCCTTGGCTGTAACCTCAGATGTGAAGTCATCCTGACCTGTGTCTCACCCAAATGCATTTAGGAGAGAAATGGATCGTGGCTCTGCTTCTAGATCATGTTACTTTGCTTTGAGTTTGGTACTAGTTGACTTTGTGGGGAAAAGGGATCAATTTTAAAGCTTCCATTTTAAAAAGCTTGGGAGTTACACCAGAGTTTCACAGTGAAAAGTAGACCTGTAAAATAAGGAAATTTCAAGATACTGGTCTTAGGATTCTGAGCTTGCTTCATCATGTGAAGATTTAGAATAGTCTAAGTTTTTATCTTGGTCCAGATGGAGCTACAGTCTATCTGATGGAACATAAACACAGTGTGTTTTGCAGTATTTGAAGGAATTTCTCTTCCTTGTTTTGTTCAAAGCCATTCCCACACAACAAAAGTAGTGTTGCTCATACTGAATAGGGGATACCAAGATCTCTGGTTGAGAACAACTGAAGTCTTATATGGCTGAGGCTCCTTAGGATGCCTTGTTTGTTCAGTAAACATTTTTAACCATCTGGTGTGCTTTGTTTTTCAGTAATGAGATGACTGTGAAAAAAATATAAACTTTAAATTAGTGAAATTAATAATTAGGAGAAATAAATATTTTAATGAGATACTTGATTGGTGTAGCCATTAGTGATGCCAGAGGTTATGATCCCTTTCAGGCTTCAGATGCTTGAAACCCTCTGGAGAGTGTTTTGAAAGTAGTAGTAAAATGCATGCACCTTTTCTGCAGAAGTTTTTCAAGATTTAAAAATATAACTTAAGCATTCAAATAACCCTGTGACAGGGAAAAGAATATCTTTCTATCCCCTATCTATCCCCCCCGAGAAATATCTTCTGGCACAAACTCAGTTTTTTATTCATTTTTACTGCAGCACTTTTCCCATGGAAATACTGTAAGCCTTAGCCAGGTCATTGTCCTGAGTACCTTCTGCCTACCTGCAATTCTCCACTGAAGTTTTGCTAGCATCAGGTTTTCAGCTGAATATAATCAACCTTACTGGAATTGAATAATAGGACCAAGAGCTTGACAGTTATAAACCACAAATAGGTCTGTCTCTGTAAATGAAATGTGGAGATAGGGTTGGAGGGGAGGGAGGAGGGTTAGGGGTGTTTTTTTCAGATCTAACAGGAAATATATAGAGCAGTATTGGTTATGACTGAAAATGCAGTGACCAAAATAAGCGATTTCTGTTTCTGTCAGTAGATCATCAACAAGTGTTGTTCAGGGCAAGGCCTCAAGCAGCACAGCACACATGATGTGTACCTCATTAACTGGCCAAAAGCTGGTGTTATGATTTGGCTTCTATAGAAGCTACTCCTTTTTGATGCTAAGATTTATGCTGGATTAAATGGGGAATAGTTACTGGGCTGCTCTTTATGAGGTTAGCACTGATCCAGCCTTGCTTCCAGCATTGAGTTAACAATTAATAGGGACTAGCTGCCAAACTTTCCTCATCTAAAATAAGGAGCAAATGAAAGACCAATTCTTTTCTTAACAGTACCAAAATAATCATTTGAGTTTGTATTTCACAGAATGAGGCATAGAAAAACTTTTCTTTATGTTTCTAGTGGCCAAAACCTGAAGGCCTCTGAGAAGTTGCTTTATTTCGAGTCTTTCTAGATTGGTATAGTATTGAGCATGCAATTAAATTGTGCATACTAACTTAAAAACCAGAAAAGCTTGTCATATTCTAGCTCCATCTTTCCTGCCTGACCTATCAGACAGCTTTGGGTAGTTCAGCTCTCTGTTGGCTCTACAGCTGTCGTGCAGCTCTCTTTTCTGGCTTTGAGCCACACAGAGATTTGCCTCTTAACAGGAATCCCCAGCATCCCCTTGGAAAGAAGACTTTCCAAGGCAGAAGTGCTAAAATAAAAAGGCAGCATCTAATTAAACCATAAACGTTTTTTACCTTTTTTGCCAACATGAGGAGTTTCTACACTCGTGCTATAATTGTTTTCATGCTCATGCCAGCTGCCAGAGGAATATTATGTAGGAAAAGAAGGAATAAATGAAATTGTTATAGAAAAACAAGTCTGTTGGGCTTTTTCTGCTAAGTGTATACATGTCTACTATTGCAGATGAAAAGATCCCTGAACAAGCGAGGACTCTGTACCAAAGTTCTAGCTGGAAATAGATAGTCTAGAAAACTACTCTGTGGAAAAGAGAGGAAGGAATGAAAATAATTTCAGTAACTCAATTTCATGATCCAGTTCAGGATGTCAGCCACATGCTATTCATGCTGGGTAAGCATTTGCATGCAGCAGCAAGTGCCATCAAAACTAGCATATCACAGAACTGGACTCTGGCACAGTAGCAGAGTATGAATTAACTTTTCCAAATTTTAAGGTGGTTCATACCAATAACAGCAAATCTGCTGTGAGATTACTTTGCTGTGATTCACTTTCTTCAAGCAGAAGCAGCACGATATTAGGGAATCTATTTGAAAAGACACAGGGAAATAGAGAGAGCAAAAGGGAATAATTTTCTTTTGAATTGAGGCGTTATGTCATAAAATAATTACGTTCTTTTTTTTATATGTATCACTTAAATTTGGGTTAAAATTGAATGTCAGTATGTGTTATTTGCATTATCATAAATTTCTTTGGTAACAGTGATTCATCTTGCCACACATACTGACTCCAGTGTAGATAGAAGAACCATTTCTCTTTGGCAACTCTAATAATTATGCAGTGGGGTCCATAGTTACTGGCAGCCTATCCCTGCTTAAGAAATCGATCACTGAAACTCTCCAGAACAATTACGAAGTATATGTCTTTATATGTTATTCTGTATTACCCATTGCTGTGTCTAGCTGCTGCAGATTTTTGTCTAATAAATGTCCATTTAGGAAGAACTATAAAGGAGACTCCCTGGAAACCTTCCAGGTAGCACAACAGACGTGTGAGGCATTGCTCTGCTCTGAACAAGGCACTGTCAAGGCCCAGTGCCTGCTGTGTTCTCTGCTGGCACAAAGCAGCCTTTTTACTAAGAAGCAGAGTTCTTTTTGCACATACTTATTTAAAGACCTATGGTATCTTCTGAGGAAACAGAAGCTTACCTGTGTATGAAGTAAGTTGTTCTGTCGAGCAGAGAAACAGTACAGTGAAAGAGACTGACTACACTACTGGACTTTGGTTTTGCTCTGTGTTGAATTAACTTCTACAAGGATTGTGTGTCATTGCTCTGTATTGATTCAGGAGGTATATAACAATAATGAGTTTTTCTTCCATGTAAACTTAGGAAAGCTGCTTAATTTCTGGGTCTCTCAGAAACAACTCTTAGGAGACAAATCATTGTCACAGCTGCTTTGTTCTAACTGACCCTGGAATTTTTAGGGTCTTTTTTGCCACATTTGTTTGTTGTTCTATGTCACAGATATATTTTCTGAAAAATCCTTTCACTAGGACCTTTTCTCCTGAGAAGCTGGAAAGCTTCAGCTTCTCCATGTGTTGTTGCATTGAAATGTGATTTGGAGCATTGTTTACCCAGCATGTGAATTGTTTTTACTTGATGACCAATGACAACCAGCTGTGTCAAGGCTGTGAACAGTCACAAGATTTTATTATTCATTCCTTTCTAGCTTCTGATGTATGCTTTCTCTTTCTTTAGTATAGTTTTAGTATATAATTTTCTTTTAATATAACATAATATCATAAAATAATAAATCAGCCTTCTGAAACACGGAGTCAAGATTCTCATCTCTTCCCTTGTCCTGGGGGCCCTCAAACACCACCGCAGTTCTACAGTGTTTTTTCACAAAGGTTACCCAACAGGTCAAAGGATTAAGAACGTTAATTTATTTCCATAATGGTGAAGGTGAAATTTTTGTAGCTTTGAAAGGAAAATGTAAATAATTTACAGAATGGAATACTATTACCATCTGTATTTTAGTTCATTACATTGTTTTTTTGATAACTTCAAACCTTTTAGCACAGCATTTTTATTTAGTTGAGGAGTGGCTTATTAAGTGGATTCATAATTAGCCATCTTTCTTTGTCATGGCCCAAGATGCTAGAGCTTATTATGTTATTGTTCTTTTGGCTACTACAGGTATGAATACAAGCAAGAGCGAGACAGTGAAAGAGCACCCATTAAAACCTTCTAGAAGATCTATGCCATGCCTTGCCCAGAGCCAAACACATCCTCAGAGCCTGAGCAAGCATTCCTCATTTCTGCAGCCCAACCGTGTGCAGCCGCAGCTCCAGCCCCAGCCTTTGAGTGCAGGGACGTCGGCAGCTGCAGTGGATGTAGTGTCAGAACGAGGTAGGAGGTTTTTCTCTTTCAGGGGTTTGCTCCAGCTCTGATAAACTCTGATTTATTTAGATATCTATGGTTTGTTGAAGAAATGTTTTTGCAGAAAACACCTACACATGCTGTATTAACAGGTTCTTGAGTGGATCTTTATAATGCTTGAAGTGAGTTTTAAACTAATTTTTATTTTTCTCAATGATGACATTATTTCCTTCTCACTGGTAATAAGACAAGAAAGTCTTGCTCATTTATGCTGGAGAAAAGTATGAAGGTTTCTGTAGTCTGTCCTAGAGGAGAAAGAAAGGATAAATATTAGGCTTTAGGCAAAAAAAGTCTTTCTATATGAACATGTAGGAGGGGATGCATTCATTCACAAACAGTAGAATCAGGGAAGAGCTGTATGGAAAGAATGAAAATGAACAGAGAAAATCCTTCCGAATTTTAGCTCGTGTGGGATAAGGAACTACTTTTATTTTAGGATTTCTAATTTAACAGATACACATGCCTTATCAGAGAAACTAGTATAGTTGGAATCCCAATCACTGTGTGTCACCTGTTGCCAACCCTTGCCATCCTCTATTGCCAGATGTGTGTGAAGCTTTGTAGAATAAATTAACTCATCTGGTAGTAGATTTTGATAAGTCTTTCCTTAATGTTGATAGACACTAGGCACTAATTGTTGTTCTAGTGAGTTATTTTATTGAGTTAAACTTCTCTTAGTAATAGAGAGAAAGTCTTCATTAAAGTGATATTGCTCTTTTTTCTATTGATAGAACATGCTCTTCAAAATTTCAGTCCTAAGTGTTTTATTTGAGTTACTGACAGCTTTGAAAAGTGTTTTTTTACAGTAAAGATTTTTTTACTTAGAAAATACATGTCAGTGTTGATACAGATATTGCATTTATTTCAGCTAAAGTGATGGAGACTTTGGAAAGCAACTTGCTTAAGCTGTCTAATACAGAATATGGTGATCCATTTTTAGGTAAGTTGTTGTCTGAACTGAAATAATGACAATTTACTGATTCTTTGATTACTCTCACAGTATTTAAGTGTGGAAAGGCCATACTTACCCTGAACTTCCATTTTTTTTTAAAGAGGAGACTAAATGTGACTAAAGAAATGTGTGCTGTCATAAATTTCCTGATACTGTCTCACCTTTTAGACTAAAAGTAGGGATGGAAGACAGAGAAGTGTCATATATTGAGTGTATCCTTTTCCCATAACAATTATTCATAAAACAATAATTTTGAACAATGTACTTGAAATTCCTTTAAAGTTGTTATTATTCACTTGTTTTTCCTATATAGTCATGTCATTCACTATTATTGTGGCTGCAGTTCTATTGTTGGGATTTTTAGATATTTTGTGTATTTGCTTTAGACGTTTACATACAAAAAGTGTTACAATTTGGGAAGCAAAAAAAAAGTAATGGAGAAAATAGCCATATTTGTACTGCTTTGCTACCATTTTGACATTGTAATTAAGTCAGAGTAAGTAGGAAAAAAGTTATTCTTGGAATAATCTCATAACTGCAAATTGAATCTGTAAATACACACTTGGGTAGTAATTTACAAGTTCCAGGATGAGGTAGTTGCCATCTATGTTACCCATACGGACACAAAGATATTTCTGCCCCTTGTGCAACTACTATGAAAGATATTTTTGCTCACAGTTGATGAACATCAAACTAGAAATCATATCTTCATGCTGAATGAGAGATATCAAGATATCTTCTTTCAGAAAGCTAGGTCTGCTCACCTCTCACATAATTTAGCATTGAATTTTCTTGATGCCTAAAATACATGATAGATAAGAGGGCTTCTCAAGGTTTCCTGAGTAGGTAACTACTGGAAATAGTGAAATTGACACTTCTTCAAAACCAGATATTCCAAAATCATGGCACAGACCAAAAATTTGGCATGAAGATTATATAAGAAAATCAAGTCTTAGTAAGATTCCAGTTAAAGCTGCTGCCCTTTCCTAGCGTAATTGGTTGGCGAGGATGGATACTAGGAGATTTTACTGTTATAATTTCCTTATTTTCTTTTTTTTTTAATACCCTGCTCTATTTTTAATATCTTGCTCTATTTTATTATGTATGTGAATTGCTTACACATAGGCATGCTGATATTGTTGTGTATTTATATATGTCAGCAGTAATTCTTTCTCATAATAAATGATGCTGGTTTTCAGTCCCATTACTTAGTTTTAACCTGAAAAGATACATGGAGGGCTCGGCAACACAGGAGAAGATAGATTGATTCTTTTGAGTTTTCAAAATTGTGTTACATTTTGGTGTGGATGTTTCTTCTCTTCTGGCTACAGCTATGCTCATGGAAGATAAAGTATTTACAGAGTTGCCCTTTACTAACTTGATTAATGAATTTGCCTATGTTGAGTCAATCCCAAATTAGATGAGTGAAATCTGTTAAGTTATTCGCAGTTATAGAAGTTATAGAAATGTAACTGATTAGGTTAGTCAGTTACAGGCAAGAAAGAAAACAGTATTTAAAACAGTACTGCCAGAGGTCAGTAATAAGAATTGCCTTATTTTTATATCAGCATTATCTGTTAGATTCATGAAGAGAAATAAGGGACAGTTAAAAGGTGCATGTGACAAAGTGGCCTGTATACCTTCAAAATACAGTTTGTTGGTCCTTAAGTATTGTGTTTATGTGGCTAAGAATTTGTCTCCAAGTCTAAAATTTTCAGTTTAATCCTGAGTCTGGATGTAGATGGGGAGGGGAAGTAAAAAATAAACCTGAAAAAGGAATATTGCAGCTTCAGCTTTGATCACCAGATAGGTTAAAACAATGCTTTTGTAGGTACTCTGGCAGTTTCATGGAGTTTGAAAAGAAGGCTGTTTAATGGGTATCATCATCTTAGTGAATATTTTCAAACTGCTCTCCTGAGAACATGAAAGAAAGTGGAATTAAGTGAATGTGGTGAATTTTTAATTAGACAGTGTAGAAATGTAGGCCAAATGGCTTTCTCCTCTTCCTGAGTTGTTTGTAGACAAAATTTTCTTGAGTGAAGGAGATTAACAGGCATCAAATAAAGGACTTCAGTGGAAAGCTTCTCTTTTATTTCAGTTGGCTATAGCTGAGGCCATAAATCTGTCAGTCAAGCTTAGTTAATGATGTTAATTGATTTATGAAGTAAAAAGTCAATGTATTACACCTTTGTTAATTACACATAAATAAATGGGATAAATGGGATCAAGGACATTATGGATTTGTGTTATTTTTCCTCTGCCAGTTTTAGGTGGTAAGTAGTGTTTTTAGTTTGAGGAAGTGGTACATTCAATCCAAGTGATAATTGTTGAGCTTCTGTAACATACAACGTGAACTTTGAGGTTTCAGGCATAAAGGAATACCCCTCTTTCTGACTCACTCAATCCCCTCCCACCTCTGGTGGGAGACACAGAAGGTGGAGATTACTGGGTTGAAATAAGAACAAAAGTAACACTCAGTAGCACGTAAAACATCACAAACTAATTTATTCTTTTTTCAATTCTGTTTTTTTCCCCCTTAGATTAATTATGAGGATTTGTGCATAATAACTCATCTTTCTTAGCAGGACATGAAAGCTTTCCTAGATAATTAACAATTTTGCTGTGACAGATACCTTGTATTCTGAATGTATCCTGAATCCAGTTAGTACAGAAGTTATATATAAAAACCAATGTATTTATATTCTATGCTGCAATACAGTGAAGTGACAAATGAAGAGCTGAACCAAAACTAACAATCCAAGAAAGAATCATAATAACTGCATGATAAAAACTACTTTTCAATGCTCAATTATAGAAGTGTTTGTAAGTCAATTTTGTGATGTTATGATAAATTGAAATGGGCATATATATATGTATAACCTGTGCAGTACATACAATGTTTATATAAAAAGAGGGACTGAAAGATAACAGAAGATATGATTCAAGGAAACCAGGTTCAGTTTCTGCTTCAACAGAAATGTGTTGTTTCCATTATGCCTTCTAGAATAATTTTATCCTAAGTTTGTGGTCAGTGCCTCCATAAATAAGGGTGTCAAATCTGTTATGTAGTGAGGTGACGGAAAAGCTGCATGAGAACAGTTTTTCCTGTACCCAGAGCTGTCCAGCTCCTCTATTGGAGCTTGTTCATTCCTGGAGAGCTGGCAGTATGGATGAAGAAGTTATGTAATCTGTTCAGTGCTCGTGGGAACATAATAAGGATTAGTCTTTGGACTTAATATGCAGTCCAAAATATGGATGTGCTTTAGGCATTTAATCTGCCTCAAGCAGTTTTATGCACCATTTTAACTCATCTAAAGAGCAGTAATATATGACTGGCTCCCTTTTAAAAAAATTAGAAATATTCTGTGTAACAGTTACCACAGTCTGAAAGTTCATAAGAAATTGTACATCGAGGAAAGTCTTTGTCTGTTGTGTGTAGGCACAGGGCGTGTCGTGATTGGAGTGGGGCTGTGGCTGATCCCAGATTGGTGCAGCTGTGCAGGACAGGTGAATGCTATTGAAGGTGAGGAGCCATGGAGTGCCCAGGGGTGCTGAGCCATCACACAGGGAGCAGTTCATCAACAGGAGGGCATAAAAGGCTGGGCTGAAGAGCAACAAGCAGCAGATGCTTGAAGCCTTCATTGGTGTAAGTTGTGGCTCCAATGTTGTTCTGGTAGTTATGATGGTTTTTCATATCTAAATATACATACACAGGTAGGTGAAAACCTTTCTATGTTTTCTGTATAAGACCGTGTTCCAGGTGCACAGCAAAATAAAATAAGACCTAAATCCATCACAATGTCATTTATCTAGGTGTCTAGTGATGTTCTTCTCCATGCTTTTCCTAGGATTTAAATTAGGACAAAAGGGGATTATTTATTTGACCAATAATCTCTTTCTTACTAAAGCTTTGCAAAGCCTATCCTTAAATGTGTAAAGGCTCAAAGGATTGAGTAGAGTTGTCGTATCAAAGTTTATGAAACAGAAACTATTTAGGAATGTTTATATTAGTTTTTCTTTCCATAACTATGCCACATTTCAATTGAAAAACATTTGCTACCAGACACTACTGTGTATATATAAAATATATCACTGGATTTCAGAGTACAGAGAAATCAGAACAACTGCTTTTTATTCCCTGTCATAAAATTGAAATGCAGTTTTGGCCCTTCAGAAAAGTCCGATAGTAAGAAAGATAGCCAAGCAGTTAAGAAGACCCAAAAAGAAAGATTCAAAATGTGGACTTAGCTATTTATCTCTAAACTAAATGCTTCTGCATTATTGTGTGAAGAATTTCCAGAAATGAAATTGTCTTAAATGTTTTATCATGTAAGTGACCTTATAGGGCAAATCTTACTGTCATGTGTTAAGTGTTGCCAAATTATATGTCAGGAAGCATTGATTAATTTTTGTGATTGTTGGGGGTTAAGTTTCTTTCCTTTTGTTCCTTTTTACTTATAGAATTTTTTCTCATAAGTTGCTAGGACACATTAACAACTGAGTACTTAAGAAAACCAAAGAAGTGGCCAAGCCTCAGGGGAGGAAGGCATCTGGTTGCACTTGTCTTGTTCCAGAGTTTCTCTCTGAGGGGGGAGAGAGAGTAGGAGTTGGGCAGGTGAAGAACAAGGCTGGGGTGGCTGCAGGGGAGGGAATTGGCTGCTCCAGAGCCCAGCCCAGATCTGCTTCTGCTGCCCTGGGGTGAGCCTCTTGTGAGAACAGCCCCTGAACATGGTCTTTGAGATGTAAGACTTGGTAAAAGGATTCATGTTTAAATCTTTCTGCTGTTAGAAGGTACTCTGGAGACTCACACAGAGAGGTCTTGTAAAGGGTCATGCACGTTGTGTTTGTGTCAGTGAGACTCTTGCAGCTGTGTTGGGTCTGTGTGGGCAGTGGAACTGCAGGGCTGGCTTCTCTGAGAAGCTGCTGGAAGCTTCCTCTGTGTCTGGTGGAGCCAATGGCAGCAGCTCCAGGGCAGACCTGCTGCTTGGCAAGGCTGAACTCATCAGTAGCTGTGGAAGTGCCTTTGGAGTAACAGATTTGAGAAGGGAGAAAAAAATACATAAGGGCAACTTCAACTGGAACAGAGATTCTCTTGCAGCCTCTGGTGAGCACCGTGGTGAGGCTGTGACTCTGGAGCCTGTGGAGGTCTGTGGTCGAGCAGGGACCAGCAGCTTACAGCCTCAAGGGGCTTGTTCAAGTGCTAAATAATATTCCCCTTTTTACTGTATTAATAGCATTACGTAGTGGGAGAGTGCTTCTATGTATTAAGTCATCAACTGCTGAAAGATAGAATAGGAAGTATCTTTGAATTTTAGAATACATTTCTTTATAAATTTCTTTAATTTTAAGGGCTGTTATGGCTTTTTGTTTTGTTTTGACTACATTTCAGGCAAAATAGCGGACGTCTCTAGGTGAAAGATTTTTTTACAAAAGAGAGATGCTGCAATTTGAAATATGTGTCCTTGAAAGCATAAAAATATTTAGCTGGTAAAGTGTGTTGAGCACAGAGGGAAATCTTATTCATAACTTCAAATTACTTCAATTTAAAAAGTTACAAAAGTTTTGCAAATGTTTTTTGGTTTTTAGTACTAGGTGTACTCATAATGTCTAATCCTCTAAAGCTTCCCTCATTGAAATAGACTTTTTAATATAACTATAGTCTTTCTTTCAGCTTAAATGACCTAGTTTAGGTTTCATAGGCCTGCCTCTTCATTTTACTGGCTCTTAAAATGAAGAGCTCAAACCTAGGCATAAGTCAAATATGCAGAGTTAAGTACTGTTTCCTACTTTATATACCTACCTGAAGCCTTCTTTTAACTACATTGATTTTTTGTTGAGCAGAGAGTAAGTTGTATATGAAGTTACATCATTGTTTAAAATAAATAAAACCCCTGAATCAGGCACATTGACAATTAAAATGAGCTGGTTTGTACATTAAGAAATCCCATCACAGATTTACCATGGTTAATATCAGTGTTAGAAATTATCAAGGGTACATTTTGTATAATCATTATGTAGTAACTTAATTGAGGAAAAAATGGTGCTCAGTAAATGTTCTGGTTTTTAATATTTTAATATGTGAAATGTTTAGGGTGCGTGAGATAATTGTGGTTGTTTGTTTTTCCTAATTTCTGTAGTACTTAGCGTAGAGAATTTAACTGAATAACTTAATGAAAAACACTTAAATGTTTCAGATGAACATTTATGAATTTAAAATCCATGAAATTCAAGATTGTGGTTCCCACAGCAACCACAACTTTTTTCTTGGCTTCTATTTAGGGTTTTGAATTACTGAGCTGAATGCTGTTCCTAGTCCACCTGACTTTTCCCATGTTGATGTGAAAGCTGAGAATGGGAACTTGACTCAGGATTTGTGGGTAAATTTTTTGTCTGACTATGTTTCTTTTTCCAATTTGTCCAAGATAAAATTGTGTGGCAATGATTATTCCATCTTTTGAATCTTTAATACATTTTTTCAAGAGTAGCCATTTTCCAACATTGATTAAAACTTTACAGTCCAGCACTGCATAGGGATTGCCCTTCATTTTACTACTTCTGGCTGTGTAGGGCAAGAATTGTCATGATTCTTTGATGGACAATATGGGTGATCTCTGAGGGAGGTCCTCAGTTTCCTGCAGCTCTCTTATGGTACTCAGCTAAGTTTTCATAAAAACTTCATCTGAGCAATTAAAACCTAATCCAGTGAGAAAGCAAACATTTCCTCCATGAAGACTTCCTACCTCCTACCACCATCAGGTACACCTGTTAAAAAGTGTTCTGAGGGACTTACTGCAATATCTGTGCAAATTTTCAAATGGAATATCTGCATGTGTGTGGGGGAACTGGGAATTTTAGTTGCTTGTTTAGATTTAAAACATGAGATGTTTTGGTCTGGTCTGCAGGCTGTGCCGCCTGTTTGGTGAAACATCCTGAGCCTCAGCAACCGTGAGTCAATCAGTTGAATATTCATATTACCTTGTTTGTGTTTTAGAACTACTGTAAAGGAAGTTATGGACTTTTTTATTTGAAGGCTAATAAAAAAACTATTGACCTTCTACTAATAATAGCAGTCACTTCTAATTTAAGGTGAACATTGTAACATTTCAAGTATAAAGCTTTAACAGGAAAATAAGTGCGTTATTAAAATGTGTACGCATAAAATGAATATTCAACTGTGGCTGTAATAATGCTGTTTGTTTCTATCCATTATAATCTAAAATGAGCCCATTGTTTTCTTCTGATTTTCCTTCAGATGTAGGCAAGGACAAAGATACATACACAGATGATTCAGAACATGGGAATTATGATGCTCGTACAGATCAGTCATTGCTTATTCAAAGTAAGCTCACCAGGCAGAAAACAGAACCTCGAACTAAATCTTCTTTAAAGGTAATGGACACAAAATTCTATTAAATTGTATCAACTGTCAGAATGTGCTTAAATATTTTTAAAATGCAATTTCTAAAGCAGCACTTGTTGCAGACTAAGTAAATAGGCGTCTCATGGTAAGAAATTTAGGTGGCTCCCAAATGGTTGGAAATGATAAAACTTCTAAAATAATTTTAATGGTTTTAAATAACTTTTAATTAATTGTTTTAATTAATCATAAGCAGTATGTTAAGTCTTAAATCACTTTTAGTTAGCATTTAGCAAAATTGTCATGAGCTGCTATTATGGGAACACAATTGCATAAAATTACTGAAATTAGTTTGTTAAAGAAAAATTACTTTTGTTAAACTGAACTTGATATGCTTCAATGAAGAAAACCTGGGAGAAGAGAGATGTATTGTTGAAATTGGGTACAAGGTGTGCAAGATTTTTGGGTCACAAGGTCATTTTGCAGAAACCAGAACATAAAGAAGAGACTAAATCTGTGTGCTGGAGGAAGAAGATATTAAAAATATGGACTAATTAGGATGTTCCAAGAGAACTAAATAAGCAATTGAGGATAGAATATTAGTTAATGAAAGAGAATGATGCAATTTAGAACTGATGAACACAAATTTCTTTGTTTGCTAAAAATGTATAAATAGTTTAAAAAGTTTTGTACAAATTTTTATTTGGAGGCTGGAATTTTGCCTTGCTTGCTAACATTAAGAAGGCAGTGTTAGAGGATTTTATTCATCCTGATGATTTTGGAAGGTGTTAGTAACAATATTATCGTTTGAGTGACAGAATCAGTGAATGGAATTCTCTGTACTAAAATCAGGCAAAATTATATAAAATCAAAGATTCTTATGTGTTTTATTGACTCATCTAAGAGGTAGTGGCCTTCTTTCAATAAATTTGTATTGCACAGAATTTAGGATTCTGAACATGGAGTGGAATTCGTGTTATCTGGGAGACCTCAGAAATTCTGAGAGTGTAGAAGAAGTATGTTCATGTAGCAAATGGTCGGTCAAGAGTGATCTAGATAGAGTATAAGATCCTCCTTCTAAGCAGTATCAAAATGATATCTAGACCCATTGAATGAGAGCTAAAACTCACTTGTGTAGGTGAGTGTAGGAGCATTGTCAGGAACCTCAACTCAAGCACTGGAAAAGCCATCTCATCTTACCAGATAAATCTGGCATGCTATCTTGCTTAGTAATTGTATAATTACACTATTTATCACAATGTATTTTCTCCAGCAGTTAATCCACTGTAATGTCAAAGAATTATGATAGATTTTCTGTTCACAAAATGTATATTTTTTAGTCATACTTTCAACTAGGAGACCCTGAATTCTCCTTTCCATTAAGCCTAACTGCTTGCATATATATGACAAATGACTTAACCTCAAGAAGTTCTGAATAATTTCTTCTTCACACTGTGGAAATAGTGAATTCTGCAGCACAGGGTTTTTTCACTGTAGGCATCCGTAATCCTGGGTTACAAATCTCTAGTAATGCTTGAATCACTGTAAGCTTCTCTGCTGCACTCACAGCACATGTGCTATTCTCTTCAGGAGACCGTGCCAGAGTTGTTTCATGGATGGTACTTGTGGCACTTTGTGATTTTGGCATTGAATGCATTCTTCACGAGTCCTACAACAGCTCTAATGCTTGTCACACTCATCATCATTACTGCAGTACTGCAGTATTCTGGAACACAGGTAGATGTGTCCTCTGAGGCTTCATTTCATAGGATGCTTTTAGAAAGATCTTTTATAGTAGTAGCTATGTAATAATTTTTAAAAAGGCTTACAGGAAATTGTATTTACAGAATGGAAATCTGTGACATGAAAATGAAACTTTGGAGATGATATATTGTATATATGTATGTCATATAAGTAACCTTTACTGGTTACATTTTAATCTAAACTGTTACAATAAGAACTTCTTGTATCCAAAGATTTTTTTGTCTGTTTCTGCAAAACTAGCTGAACAAAGACAAATAATAATGGATGTTCTTGTTTGATTTCATTGATTAAATAGACAAAGCCTTTTATGTTAATTGTGGCTGAAAAGGCAGAAAAGCAATGTGGAGTCTGTAGACTTTAGATCCTGTTACTGAGCCCTAAATAGTTTTAATAATAGGTAGGGCTGCTGCCAAAACAATCTAGTAACAGATGCTGTACTGTCTGTCTAGTAACAGGAATTTCACAGCGCTAAAGCAAAATACTGTTTTTTCTATTTCTATGTGAATTAGAAAATAATCACTAGTTGCATTTTTTCCAAGCTCTGCATTCAGGATGGTTATGAAGTTCATAGTCAGCAAGTAAGCTAACATTCTTTCAAAGTTTAAAGAGAAGTTTTATATTTGTATTAAGTTTAAACAAAAATACACTTTTTATGTTACAATCTTTGTATGTACCAATCTACTTAGCAAATTGGTTCAAAGTTTAAAAACAGTCTTCTCACAGTGTCTCTGGCTTTTAACTTTGACAATTCCTTTTATCACAACAACTACTCTGGAAACTTCCTTCTCCATTTAGAAGGACTGTTTCTGCAAATGAGGTGATTTGGTTTAATCCTAGCTGGGTTAAACCCAAAATTCAAAACACAGCCCTGTACCAGTTACTGTGAATAAAATAAACTCTATCCCAGTAAAAGCCACAACTGAAGCAACCAAGCAGTATTCTCCTTCCCTTTATCTTTGCCTGCTTCCACAGGAAAAAGGCAAGGGGAATTTAGATTAGTCTTAGAAAGGAATTTAGTCTTAGAAAGGTTTTGCCTTTGGATTTTTATAGAAGTCTTTGTGGCAATTATTTTAGAAAGCCTTAGGAAAATCTCTTCCCCAAATTGATATAAAGCTAGCAAAAGAAGGCTTCTAATTCTTTCTGAGACTGCTAAAAATACAGAATACTGCAGTACAGCTTTACAGCTGGTAAGTACTCTCACATATTTGAAGTCTAAACTGATCTGTCACAATAAAAAAGTCTTCTCAGTCTGACCAGATAATGAGAATGAGAAACGCTGCATTGATCAGGAGTACAAGAATAAAAGCACATTCTTCTTCTCTTCTTTTTAATGTTTCTAATTTTTGCTTGTTTTAGAAGGGTTGTTGTATTCTTGAGAGATTATGGGGAAAATTGCAAAAAAAATTGTTTGCAATTACTTCTTGGTGCCATTATCTTTCTCAGCAATGAGATGCCTGGATACTTTAGCAGTAGTGAACATGTCTTGCTGACATGATGAAAACCAATACACTTTTTTTTTTTCAGGAATTGTTTAGTTTTCAGCTTACATGCATGATAGCTCCATAAATCTGATTCTTGTTGTAACATTTTAGAGCTTTGAAAAATCAGAGAATTTTCTTAGAGCAACCAGATGCCAATGTATTCGTCTACTGTTCTTGTTTGCATGATTATGATTTATAACTGATAGTTTCCTATAGTGTAGGTTGGTATATTTCAGAATCCACAGATTTCATACTGAAAAATTGTGAGTCGCTCAGACCCATGAAAAAGCTGTCATCATTATCCATCTCTGCCAACTTCTCATCACCAGCTGCTCTTGAAATTGCACAGAAAGTACCACTTTATGTATGTGGTTCTGCCAAGGGGTCTCACAAGGAAAAATGAGGCCAAAAAGTGTCTGTTGAGCAAAAATTAGTAGTACCTGCTTTGCTAGGGAAATGTAGAAAATAAGAAGGTCCCTGGGTGGAAGGCTGATACTTGAAATGCTCTTGTTTCCTTAGGAAAGGGAAGCAGGATAAAACAGACTTTATCTTGAGTGGAAGGCAACGTTTTCCCAGAGAAGTGGCAAAATCAGTAGCAGCCAATTCTTTACCTACTGCTATTGCATGTATAGTAGCAAGATAGGAATATTTGAGAAATTGCTCTTCCATTTCCTTTCATTCACTACATCACTGTTACTCTCTTTGATCTTGTAAATATTTTATCTAGGTAATGCATTTTGCTGTCTGAGAAGGTAAAGAAATAATTTTTGGAACAAGGTTTGCATTATTATCACTGTGGATTCAGGAACTATGAAGACATGCTACCTATACAATAGCCTAATTGACTGCCTTTTTCTGGTAGTCCAAAAATGCACTCTAATAACACAGACGTGAATAAAGCCTAAAAGCAATGATAACAGATAAAATCATTATCCCAGAATGGAAGGATGTGGTAAGCTGCAGCAAAAGTTGACTTCATGCTTGTGCTTTTAGTGCTTGACTCTCATTTCCTGTGAGGTTTTATTAAAGAAAAAGAGCCAAAAAAAGCTCAGAAAATATTTCAGGAAATATGGGGTAAGTAGCAAGTAATTTCAACTTATAGACAAAAATGTTTGAAAAGAAACACGTACAGAAGAATTTTCAGTGGTTATGTTAGTATGCTTCTTAAGACATCCCTATTAGACCTCAAGAGCAAATTAGAAGAGATTAAATATAAAAAAGCCTCCTCCTGTCTCCAAACATCCTCCATTACTGCTCCCTCATATGGTAATATTGAACAGACTTCCTTTAAAAATTTTGCATATCACTGAACCCACTCCTTTCCTGAAGTCAGATATGTTTTTCATAATATATACAAATGCATTTTTCATGCTTACTCTATAAGTCTGAGTAGACTATAAATGGAAAAAAAAATCCTCTGTGAAGAAGCTAAAGTAATTGCTAAACTAGTAAATCCTAAAAGGTTAAACTGCATTTTAATTAGGAAGGTCAGATATTTCTGGAAGTCTTTGTCTCCACAGAAAAAAGCTTTGTTCTGCCCAGCAGTGTAATCTCACAGAAATGCAGTAGTGTGGGTAAATATGGCAGCCTGTCATGTTGTCTTTGATGCCCAGGGTAATTTGGATGTCTTTGCATATGCAAATATGTCCCAAATTTTCTTTCCTAGGTTATTTGCACAAGAACACTAAAGCAATATACATTTAAAATCATCAATCTGTTTTTGAAATCAAGTAATTGAAAGGACGATTCTAGTTAATCTGTTTATGGTTTATCCATTCCTACAAACA